AATTCTATCCTTGCAATACCCGTATGCCTGAGGTGGTATAGATAGTATACTACCAATAACGTATGCTCCCCACATTGTACCATCATAGCCACAGCAGAGTAGACAGGAGCGGCCAATAGACTGACCCCCAGACCTCTATACAGATCACGTGCTCGAGTGATTGGCAATCGTGACGGCATGGCCATGACCAACCGCCGTGTGTATCTACCAACAGACTACCATCATGTGACTACCACAAGTAGCCCTATTACAAGACATCCAGAGGGTACATGACGATCATTGCAGCTGCTCCTGATAATATAGTAGATGCTAAGCCTTGGCCTTTAGTATTGCTATCCAATACTGGACGGAGGTGGCAGTGGTAACTAAAGCTTAGTGAGCTCACTTGATGAGCAGAGGAGAACCCTACAGGTAATGACGTATCCAAGTAGTGCCAGCCATATGGAGCAAGTGTATATGGACAGCTGTATAGTGATGACCCTGGGCACTTCTCAATACACTGCGTATAGACGGGAATAATCTCTGTGTAGATACCGTCGATGTTTGCAACTAGGAGGCAAAGTACCACGTCGATAAGCATCTCTCTCCCTATTACCAATATCCTGGCCCTATCAGCAGGAGCACTCACTAACTTAGCAGTAAGTGCGGCTAGACCATGGGAGAACAAACTCGCATAGAACATGCGCTCCTCAGAAGGGACTTCCAACGACGACGACGATGACGATACTGCTGCTGCTGCTGCTGTTAGAGGTGTAGTAGCCCCCAGAGTACTCGGCTTGAGTGAAGATATGTCCCCTGCTATAACCGACTTAGGATACCATGAGGTGCTCTCCTTAGGGTGCTGGTGTTGACTCATCGTCGTGGTCCAGCAGAAGCCTAGTCCAACCTAGTACTTTAACTACGACATCATTATCATCATATTGCCTCAGCTAAGTGAACACAGTAGGATGTGTAGCGAAACGTAATGATGGTAATACGATGGACTAAAAGTCTATAGGGCAGTCCTGTAAAGTCTTATTATCAGCATCTATCTTCATCACGTTTACCAGACTGTTCGGCGATGGTTCTATGAACAACAATATGAATCCTTTAGCGCTGGTATGAACCTACCAGTGCTGCCACCACCACTAGCAGTCATGCTGTAGGCTAAGGCATGCTCCTTGGGTGACCATGCAACATGGTTCACTGGATGGGGTATCCGATTGTTCTTGCCTATGAGCTTCTGAGCTACGTCCACATACTCCACTCCAGTCATAGTACCAGCTATGACTAGATTACGATCAATCACATCATTACCCCCAGTAGACGGTAATGATGTATATGCAACCAAACTACCATCGTGACCTAAGACCAAGGGTGTGGCAACTACCCAATAGGTATTGTGTACTACTCAAAGCGACTGACTGTATAGGAACATGAGTAGAAGAGGAAAAGGTCCTTATACAGGTGAGGTCCGCTACTGACCAAATGTCGACCAAGGAGTCTCCCTGAGGGAGGAGCTGAGTGAATGACTTTCCAACCGTACTACTACCCCTCCAGATGCCATAAAGCGTCCCTCTCTCCTTTCTGGAATAATGGGAAGGTAGTAAACTGGTGGCCGATAAGCACCTCCGAGGGCTTCACTGCGTCTGGTGGGTATTGAGATCCTTTAAGAGCTGTGGCAATGAGCGGTATCAGCTCATCGGATCAATGCCTATTATTACCACATCATCGTCGTAAAGGAGT